CTTAAATACCCCCATTCGAGCCAGTTTCGAGAACTAATATCGTCTGCTACACTCCTTTCACTATTGCTACTTTATAATTTGCTTATTTTCATTGTTACCTCTTCTCCCTTAGATCTTATATGTTTATTCGCCATGCTACTTGGTAATCGGCTTTTGCTCAGAAAACAGCTCATTCATTTTTTCTAGAGTTTCATTCATTGCTTCTTTTCAATAGTTAGATCATTTTTATTTTTTCAGCTTCCAAGAATGAGGTCCGCCAATTTTCTCTACCATTTAAGACGCAGAATTTGAGGGGCTTCTTTGATCTTGAATGGCTAAAATTGTTATTTGATTTTTTCTTAAAGCATAACTGTGGTTGCCACTATTTTAGCATGATATTGATAGAAAAAGTTTATTTAATCTTTAACCTTCTTTTCTGGGCTCTATGATTCAGCTAGTCGAGCGAGACCTCGAGCTTTGTCCATTCTTAGACCCACTTGATCGATGTCCTCCAGTGGCTCCACGCAGCGCTACTCTTCTTTCCAATCCGTTCCGTGTACTCGCATACCTTGACTTGCTGCTTCAACTTCGTCCCTGGGGTGGCCGGCGTATAACTCGTCGACCTCGTGGCTCTCTTCCCGCCTCTCCTACATTAGTTGGATACAGTTCGGGGTCACGCACTGATGAGGCTGATTGGTGGATGCGCTCTACATCATGTGGCAATACTGGAATTGGTCGCCTAAGTGATTGTGGCCAAGAATGGTCATGTGCCTCAGCAGCCGCTGCAGCGGCAACTGATATGGCCGCTTTGCGGACATGGTTACTCAATAGGAATCTAAGTCGTTTGCGTCAGGTAGCCGGTCGAATAATGTGCTTGGAAGCCTGGTGTCAAGTGGCTGAGATTGGGTTGGTAGAATTTGTTCGTACCTCAGCTTCTCCTATTACTGCCAGTTCAGCTGGAACGACGACTTCTAGCAGCGGGGCAGGAATTACTTCTACTAGCACCACTGGAGCCACATTTGCTAGTACCGGGGCGCATACCACCGCCTCTGTTCCAGGAAGTACCAGTGGAAGTGGTGGTATCATCTTTGGGACGGGATGTGCCAAATCTGCCACGGGCACTGCTGCCATTGCAGCTGCTAGCCGACTAGTGCAAACAGCGCCATTTGGGCGTAGCCACGATATCTGGCTGTCAACAGGAGCAGGTGGTATTCTCACAGAAAAAATGATGCTTATATCCGGTGCCGCATCAACTGCTGAGCTCGATCTTGAAGCGACTGGCAGGTTTTTGCGTTGCCGAGTCGGTCTCGAGCTTATAATTGGACTTCTCACTGAGGTAAATTTAGAAATTAAATTCTGGCATCCCGATATATTTGTGAAAAGTTTAAAGATGATGTAGTACAATTCATACATTTGCTTTTGTCATGGGCTCACTAAATAATTTGTTTCAATCCTGATCTTTAACTATCCATTTTTACTTTCCTTTTAGATGATAATTTCATTCCCTTATTTTATTATGCGCTCATCGTTTAATCACATTATTATTTTAGTGGCTTTCGTCAATTAGAAGATCTCTTTAACGGAGTGGCTTCTTCCCCTCTTCTATACTTTGCTTATAGTCTATTATTTTAACACATTTATTGAAACTCGGCTGAATTTTTATCACTTGTTTTAATCGCTTACTAATCGACCGCTATACATAACTGACGTTATTGGTAAACCGAAATCTTTAAATCGAAG